ATTTTGCTTCTTCATTTTAACATTTGCCATGTTTCTGTGCTCCATTTCTGGATAGATACCTAATCCAGCTTTCAGGGCCAGGATGTTAACATCCCTTCATCTGAGCAGTCATTGCATCTCTGGGTACTGTTTCCCCTATGACTCCCCACCAAGAAAAGACTGGATGAGAGTGTGGATTTTCATCCTTCCCCAGATTTTGAACACTATGGGTCTTAAGAGCCGAATTTTGGCTTAAAATACTATCTGTGTACACTTGGCCTCTGGACAAGGTGCACTCCATGTGTTTGACTTCGGTATCCCGTTATTAAGGAGCACACAGGATTCTTCATGTGTTGTAGAGATACCGTGGTCTGCTTGGCAGGGAGCATGAGCTGGGAAGCATGACACGTCCCATCAGATTCACAGGGATGGTGCCATACTTGTAGAAATTCTGTAGTGAGAGGCCTTGAAAACTAGAGGGAACTAGGAGGAGGACATTCATTTCCAAGGCAGCTTGTGACAGTTAGTGGATATCCATCAAGTCCTTTATAACTAGGAATACAGTGACTTGCATAAAATACGATGGGGGAGGCCACTAGGAGATCAAAAGCAGTTTGGAAGAAGGTGACAGGAATAGGTTGAGCCCAATGGCTCAAGACTAAGGTTGAGGTAGGCTCCAGAATATTCCATTTACATGGTGCCCACCAGGTGTACCAGAGTGGATACTCTAACCAGATAGAACAACATTAAACTGGTTGGACAACCTGAACAAGGCTCTTATCCAACTCTATCTTACTTTACTGTAAAATGAAGGGGGCAGACTAGCCATTGGTTCCACTTTGTTTTCCAGTTCTACAAATATCACATTTGAACGTTTTTGCCTAATAATCAAAGTGTGTTTATTACAACCTACAGACCAATATTAGGATCTCTGGTTCTAGAACATGGTTGCATATCAGAATCATCCATGTGGTGTAAAAATAAAAATCAGACACCCAGGCTTTCCCAGTGGAGATTCCAGTTCAGCAGGTGTGGAGTGAGAGAACATTTTCACAGAATATATAATCCCTAGCTAAGGTTAGGAGCTCTGGTAGCATAGTGCCTAAGGCACTTGACTGCTAACCAGAAGGCTGGTGGTTCAAACCCACCAGCCACTCCTCAGAAGGAAGGTTGGGAGATCTACTTCTGTAGTGATACTCCTTCGGCAACCCAAGGAGGGGTCGCTATGAGTCGGGTCCAACTCGACGGCACACAACAACAACAACAACAACAGCTAAGGTTAGGTCCCTAGGTGGCACAAATGGTTGGTGCTCAACTGCTAAGCTTAAGGTTGACAATTCCAACCCACCTAGTGGCACCATGGAAGGAAAGGCTGGGTAGCCTGCTTCTGCAAAGATTATGGCCAAGAAAACCCTATGGAGCAGTTCTAATCTGTCACCCACGGGGCCACCAGGAGTTGGAACTGACTTGATGGCAACTAAAGACGACTGCTAGGGTCATGTGTAATTTCTGTATACTTTTCGAAATTGCAAATCCTCAAGCATGCCCTGGGGACCCCAAAGACCACCATTGGCTAAGATGAGCCATCAGTTTGTTCAGTTCTAGAATTCCAGGTTAAATTTTGCCAGCTCTCATTTTGGTTGTTTTCTAAATACTATTCTCACTAGAAAGAACCAGAGCTCCTTAGAGAAATGGCTGATTCCAGACCTGGGACAGAAAATTACAAGATGAGCCTGGGATGTCCTGTGAGCAAGGATGCTATTAAAGATTCAGGACTCAACTTGGAGAGGCTCCCCCAGGCCAAAGATGGGGCCATAGGAGCATTAATAGCAAACTCAGTAACTTCAGTGGATTACTGTGGATACATTGTGCTCGAATCCATGAACTTGTAAAGATGTGGACAAAAAGATCTCATAGGTCCCTGTTAGAGAATTCTAGGGAAACAATTCTTTAATTTGAAAAGCAGTGAATAAAGGAGAAGGAGCCCTGGTGGTTGACAATGATGGTTAAGTGCTTGGCTGCTAACTTGGAGGTCAGCAGTTTAAGGCTACCAGCTGCTCCGTGGGAGAAAAGATCTGGTGATCTGTTCCTGCAAAGATTCCAGCCTAGGAAACCCTATGGGGCAGTTCCACTCTGTCCTCTAGGGTCACCAGGAGATCAACTTCATGGTACACAACAAAACAAAGAAAGAAAAAGGCTCTGGTGGTGCAATAGTTAAGTGTGTGGCTGCTAACCAAAGCACTGGCAGTTTGAACTCACCCAATGGGTCCATGGGAAAATACCTGGTGATTTGCCTCGATAAAGATTACACTCTAGAAAGCCCTACGGTACAGTTCTGTTTTGTTTCATGGGATTGCTAAACCAAGCCCCCTCCCAAACCAAAAAGACAGCAACAACAACAAAAAGCCACTGCCATTGAGTTGGTTCTGATTCATAGTGAAAACCCATAGGGTTTCCAAGGCTATAAATCTTTACAGAAGTGGACTGCCTTGTCTTTCTCCTGTGAAGCAGCTGGTGGGTTTGAACCACCTACCTTTTGGTTATCAGCCCAATGCTTTAACCACACTGCCACTGGAGCTCCTTTCATGAGATGGCTATGAGTTGAAAATCAATTCAACAGCACCTAATGACAACCACAGCAACAAGTAAAGAAAAAGGGCAAAGTATTTATCCTGTATGAGCTGTATCCTTAGGAACCTAGTAATAAAAGGGGGGAGATTTCTCTCTACAGGCATATTCTAGCTAATAAGTGAGTAAAGGATGAGGAAACTAGGCTATCACTACCTCATAACTCTCAATGCAATAATGGGCCTAGGCAATGCTCATCAATGGCTGTTAACATCACATAAAGAGAATCAGTCTCCTGCTGGGAGGTGCTATACCATCTATGTAACACTGTCACCAGAAAGTTAAACCTGAACCTCATCACACTTATAGATCTAATAATTAATTTGCAAGAAATACGAGAGTAGGGAAACACAGTAGGACACATGTAGCTACAACCAACAAAGTTCAGATTGTGGGGAAATATACAGAACAAACCCTAGTGATTAAAACAGACAACATAATTACAATATGTAAATCTTACATAAGGAGCTCTGGTAGTATAGTGGGTAAGACATTTGGCTGCTAACCTGAAGGGCAGTAGTTCAAACCCACCAGCTGCTCCATGAGAGGAAGATGAGGCAATCTACTTCTGTAAAGATTTACAGCCTTGGAAACTCAATGGGGCTCTCTATGAGTCATAACTGACTCGATGGGAGTGGAGAAGAAATCTTACTTACCTGCTTGTTAGAGCACAGCAAACTATAAAAAGTTTATGAGACAATAGGGGAATTTCAGCATTTACTAGATATTTGATGACATTAAGGATGTATTGTTGATATTTTAGGTGTGACGATGATATTTTTAATATATTACTGTGGTCTCGGTGAAAGTTTCCTAAGCGAATTAGTTTCCCATTCAATGTATATCCTATACATTGGTATACACAGATTGTTTCATCTGTGACATTGGCTGTGATTCCCACGGTGGGTCAGCATTCTCCCCATTTCCACCTGGGCTTCCCCGTTTCTGCTTGCCCAGTCTTCCTGTCAACTCCTGCGTTCTTAAATTTGCTATTGGGCAAATGCTGATTTCCTGGTCTCGCGTGCTTGATTGCTCTGAGAAACATGCTCCTCCCGGGTGTTACTGTTCACTTTAGAGGCCTGTCTTTTATGTGGCTGAAAGGTGATCTCTGGGAGTGGCTTCCATTTTACGTTAAAAGGGTCTGTAAAGGTCATAGTCTCCAGGGTACCACCAGTCTTTATCAGGCCAGTAAGTCTGTTTTTTTCTTTATTATTGTTATTTATTTATGTGAATTCTGTTCTACCTTCCCCCCCCCCCATTCTATCTGGTACGTTTTGTTATGATGTTAGTACGAGTGGTCAGTGGTGGTAGCCAGATACCATCAAGTTCTTCTGGTCTCAAGCTGTGGTTCATGCAGTCCATTAGTCTTTTGGATTGATGATACTATCTCGATTATATAATTTCTCTTGTAAAATTCCTTATCTTTTAAAGAAACCTACTTAAATACTTTCAGAGTAAGAGATAGGAAATTTAAAATTTGTTTCAAAATAATCTAGGGGTTGTTGTTGTTTTTAGGTGTCACCAAGTCAGTTCCAACTCCTAGTGACCCGATGTACAACCCAGTCCGTCTCATTTTCACAGTCATTGCTGTACCTGAGCCTATTGGTGTAGCCACTATGTCAATCCATCTTGTGGGGGGTCTTCCCACTTTTTGCTGACCCTTTACTTTACCAAACATGATATTCTTCTCCGGGGACTGGTCCCTCCTGATAACATGACCAAAGTACAAGAAACGAAGCCTGGCCATTCTCGATTCTACAGAACATTCCACCTGTACGTCCTCCAAGACAGCTTTGTTCATTCCTCTGGTAGTCATCCATGATACATTCAATACTCTTTTCCAGCACCACAATTCAAATGCATCAATTCCTCTGTAGTCTTCGTTATTCATCATCCAGCTTTCACATGCATATGAAGCTATTGAAAAGACGATGACTTGGGTTAGTCTTCAAAGAGACATTTTTGCTCTTACCACTTTAAAGGGGTCTTTTGCAGCAGATCTGCCCAGTGCAATAATACATCGTTTGATTTCTTGACTACTGCTTCCATGAACACTGATTGTGGATCCAAGTAAAATAAAATCCTTGAAACTTCAATCTTTTCTCTGTTCATCATGCTGTTGCTTATTGGTTCCGTTGTGAGGATTTTTGTTTTCTTTACATTGAGGTGTAAACCATACTGAAGGCTGTAGTCTTTGATCTTCTAGGGTAAGAACAGACAAAACAAGATTGGCCATGAGTTGATAATTCTCTAGTCTAGATGATAGGCATATATAGAGAGGATTGTTATATTATTCCTTCTGCTTAGATATACAATTGAGATTTTCTATAAAAAATTTTGCTAGCTATATGTTAAATAAAACCAAATCTAAAACTGTCATTTCTGTTTTATAGATGGCAAGAAGGAAGTTTACCAAACTGGAGATTATGCTCAGTGTCCTTCTGCTGGTGGTGTTTATCATTGCCATTGCTCTAATTGTGGTTTTAGCCACAGGGTCTTCAGGATCAGAAGGTAACAAAGAACTCCCATGTTCTCTGTCCATACATTCTTATCAGAGCAGAACCCTCATCAATGGCAGCAAAGTCATGCTTCCATGTTCAATGCTGTGTGTGTGTATGGACGTCCAGACGTGTGTGTGGATGTGGATTGTATGTATGTGGGCAGAACCTCCTACAACTATGGCTGCTCAGCAGATATCCAATGTAGGTTTAAGTTGAGATACTTTCTTCATTCTTTTAATTTCTTGTGATTTGAGTGAAAGTTTGCAGAGCAAATCCATTTTCCATAAAATAGTTTATACACATTTTGATTTATGACATCGACTGCTCAGTGTAACAGCTCTCTTCCCACTTCCTCCTTGTAGTTACCTCTTCCCTGTGTCCTTCTTTCCTATGCATTCCTTCCTCCTAAGCTATCTCCCTATGCAAATACTGCCCTTCTTTTTTCCCGTGATTTATTGTTCTAAGGAGTGTATCTACTTGATGTAAATGTTCACCCCATATGCCAGTCTATGGTTTGGATGGAAGCCACAGGAGGGTGTTCAATTCCAGACCTGAAGGATAACGAGGAACCGTAGTCTTGGGAGCCTCACCAGGCTCTATCAGACCAAGAAACTTGGTCTTTTTATGATTTTGAGTTTCATTCCACATTGTTCTCCTACTCTATCTGGGATCTTCTGGACTGATCCTATTCAGAGTGGTTGACAGTGGGTAGATGGGCACCATCTAATTCTTCTGGTGTCATGGTCATATAGGCTGAGGTTCACATGGTCCACCAGTCCCTTGGACTAATTGTTTTCATATGTCTTTGATTTTCTTCATTCTTCTTTGCTCTGGGTGTCAGATACTTTCATTTCCCAATTTTATTAGTGTAGTGTAGGATTCTACAATGAACACTTGAAATATATTTGTTGAATTTCATTGAAAAATCCTAATTCTTTTAATAATGACAGAATACCCTTATAGGTTCAACTTTCAACCAAACAATAGACAAGCTTATAAGGTGAACAATAGCACCAAGGAAGTACACACTCCTTAGCACAACCAACCACCTGCGATCAAAAGAGCAGCATTTGTCCAGAAGGCAGGAAAACCAAACCAAACGCACTGCCATCGTGTCGAGTCTGGCCCTCTTTGGGTTTCTGAGGTGGTAAATCTTTACGGAAGTAGATTGCCCAGTCGTCCTTCTGCAGAATGGCTGATAGGTTTGAACCTCCAGCCTTCTGGTTAGCAGTCAAATTTGGAAATGGTAAACACAGGAAGGAAGTGAGATGAGAGCTGTTGCATTATGGGGATTTCAATCAATGTCGCAAAACAAAATGTGTATGAATTGTTGAATGAAAAACCAGTTTGCTCTGTAAACTTTCACATAAATCACAATAAAAAGGTTTTTTTTTTTTTTTT